AAAAATTGTGCAAAAGTGGGGGGTGGGCGCTTGACCGGGAATGGGCGCTAACGCGGTCGAGTACGGTATTATTACAAGATAAATGATTTGCTTCATTGAACACAGACAACAATGCATATTTCAACTGAGATCAGTGACCTTTAAATGTGTATCACCAGTGATCAGTCAAGTAGAATTATCAGATTTTCTCAATTTTTGCATGATATTTTCATACAGGACATCTGTTGTTCATACTCAGGGAAGACTTTATACTGATGAATAAAGTGACCAAGTTTGATAAAGTTTGGAATAGAATTAGTAAAGTTATTGTGCACACAACAATTATTATCTTACAAGCACCTGTGATACCACCCGCTTCACTCAGATTTTAACAAACCTAATTACATTTGTGCCAGTATTTTTATTAACTCAAATACATCAGTGTTCTCCCCAGACTCCATGCTATGCATCACAGCTTATTTCGCATTCCACCACATTTAATTTATTTGCATAATAATTATTTGAACCCAATAGTAGTGATCACTGATTATTATATATATCTTTCACAATGTGTGAAACGATACTGAAAAAGGTCATCGGTTTTCCATCTATATTCATGCTTGAAAGTAGGCTGCAGACCCGCCGGTGAATACGAGTATCCAGATAATTGTTTAGGATCGATCATTTCACACGTATTGTTCTGTTCAGCCATCTAAAACGGGCTATGCCTGACGCTAATTACTTATTCATCATTGAAACGAATCAGAAATAGCCCAGCTTGAGGGAAACAGTATTGGGGGAAAAAAGAACAGTATCGGACCCGATACTCTTAAAAAGCTTGGAGAGAAAACTTAGAATCGGGGGCGAAACGAAAGCGACACAGCTATTTGTCCAAGAGGAGAGTAAGAAATCAAACGGGCTGTGCACCGCGGTGGAGGTCGGCTCTTGTCGGTCAACCGTATTTTATGCAAATTTATGCATAACATTATTATAATATTGTATGCAACTTTATATCTATATACAAGATACTCACCGTGTTGTTCTAACTGGACTTAGTTTGGATTTTTTGGCAGGACTCTGTGAATCACTTGAATCTGAGGAGTTTTCAATTTTCCTCTTCCTTACAACTTTGGATGGTGAAGTAGTTTTTGTTTCAGATAATTTCACAAGTTTATTCTGTCTTTGTTTTTGAGGTGTACTCAATTTTTCATTCCTACTTGTGTCATCCAAGTTCTGAGATTTTAATTTCTTCTGTTCCACATGCTCATCTTTCCCTGATGTTTTTAATCGCTTACTGCTTCTACTTGCATTTTGTTCTTTAGTTGCAGTTCTTAAAGTCCTTTCTTGTTTTTGTGGTGTTAAAACTTTTTTTTTTTCCTGTTTTTTCTCTGATTTACTTTTTTCTTCCCTCTTATCTGGTTTTCCATCTTTGCTGGCAGTTCTCTGTTTGTTTTCATCCTTCTTGCTCTCTTCCTGGATTTTGCTGTCACTTTTATCAGTCACTGACCTCCTTGAAAAAAATGTGATTAAACTGAATAAATACTTGCTATTCAATATAGCTACCACTATGTAAGAACTTTAAATGTTGGGTATAAACAAACTGCATCCCAGTGAAAATAACACAACTTCACAGTTTACAATATTGTGATCACGACAAATCACCAATGTAGCAAGCATGACTTGTAACTTTGTGGAACATTAGTGTTTGCTCTGCTTTGTTCTTGACTTGACAGCATCATTGTATATAATTCAAGAAACATTAAAGCATTAAAACATCAAAACATCAAAATGATAATGCAATGCATGCATGTGTTAACGGACCAGTGTTCAAGTCTTGATCAGAAAAAAACATAACGTAACTATTACAACCATGGTATGGAAGTTTACAAACTATGCATGTCCCAAGTCCAAAAACAATGCAATAATATATTATCTTAGCATTTTACGGTTAAAATACAGGCTAAATCAAAGAAAGCTTAGAAAGAACTATGTGCTGAAGGTACTGAAGGCATAAAAAACAAATAAGAAAACCTGTATTTATTACTATATTAGAAGCACATCTTCATTGCACATAAAACATTAAAATATGTCTAGATAAACTAGTCTTGGTCACTTATTTTTACAGTAAGCATATATGCTTCTAATAGAGCAAATGAATAGGGTGATTACAAGTAGCTATGGTTTATTAATTATAGCACCGGTTGCATGTAACTTTCTGTACCGAGTACAGTTATGCATATTAGGAAAGACGCATGAAACTAGTAACAGGTAATTAATATGCATGGATTTCAACCCTGAAGTAAGCAGGTCTGTAGATTATCAAAAAGCACCTATGTACCTAGTTTCATTAAAATTTGATCAGTGACACTCATATTTATTTATTTATTTATTAACACACAACATCCCCCGGAGGGGATGAAAAGGGTTACAAATCAGATATTAGTAAAAGAAAAATAACCACATAAAGAGTAAGGGAACAAAAAGGCATAAAAAAAAAAAAAAGATAAGTTGAATACAAGGAAAGTATTACTGGCTTAGTTTATGTAGGTGCTGCTGTCTTGTATTAAAACAGTTTTTTAAATATTGCGCTAAAGGAATAGACATTTTCTCGTCACTTAGTAATGATATGAATTTATTTTCATTACTAAATTTGTCAAAATTTGGTATACATTTATTAGCTACAATGTAAAGTTTTAATCTTATTTCATTGTAATGAGGACAATTTATGACAAAATGTTGTTCATCTTCAACATGGTCATTGTCACACAT